GAAGGGGGGATGGGATGGCGGAGTGTGAAGCCGAGGGCGGTAATGGAGTTGGGCGTGTAAATGCCTTGTGTCGCATCAAATTTTGGGAACACACATACGCACACACACCCCCACACACACACACGGCATACATAACATAACATAATAGGAACATGAAGAGTTTTGTCGAAAAACAACTTTAATAAACCCGCTTTGCCGACTAATTTGACAATAAAAACCAAATGTTTGGGGACAGGGCGTAAATAATGGAGAAAAAAATGTATATACGAATATATGGATAAAGGGAAAAGGACATAGGGACCTGGCTAGCCTACCTTCTACCCTTTTTTTTATGGCGATAACAGGTTTAAAAATTACATTTAATGACAATTGCGACAACCCGAGAAACGAAACGAAAACCTTCGACAAAAACTCCCCAAATAACCGGTACCCGGCCACAATCAGTTATACAAATTTGTAGATCGAGAGGACAGCGGGGGAGGGGGGAAGGGAGGGATGGAGGTAGGGAGCCCTTTTGTTGGGAACATGTGTAGAGTTAAAATAGCTGGCAATGGCAATTGCTGGCAATGGCATTCACGACAGGTTCGCGCAATTTCCAGCCAAGTTGCTCCCATTAGCCACATAATTTTAAGTGTGTGCGTGGCGCGAATTGTGGCATAAGCAAAGTGCGGAGCGAGAAGGGGCGGGAAGGGGTGGTGGTAGCCTTGGTTGCGATGGGGATGCAGAACGAGCTCATTTAATATTAAAAGGATTTATGAGACATTTTCCTTTCATTTTGACAACGAAAAGGACGCACTAACGCATCCGGACGAGACGGACGGACACGTGGCGGGAACTGCAGAGAGGGGGACGGTGGGGATGCCGCACGTCTGAATTGCGAAAGGAAAATTTTCTTGTGCCGTTGATGAAATTTTCGCTTAACAGAATTTGTGACGCTTCGCGTGGCGCCGTTGCCTACGCTCGGTTAAAGGGTTTTACTTTTTAGTCTCAGTTCGACCTTAGCTCCATACCCCCTTTCCGCCCATCAACATCGCCGGCCTCGATGCCGCCTGAAAAGCCCCCGCAGCCTGCACTGCTATTGTTGTGCTCAGCGTGGCAACTTTTGCGCTGGTTTAGCTTACGCCTGGGAATTATTTGAGTGCTTTTTGCACCCCTCATTCACTCAGCATTCACATCCCTATCGCGATCCTAAGCGTGTGAAAGTGCAGACGCCGACAACCGCTGAATGTATCAAATAAAAGCCTTGCTTACAATGTGTGTGTGTGTGTGTGTGTGTGTGCTTGTCTGTGCTTGTGTGTGCTTGTATGTGCCTGTGTGTGTGTGAATTTTGACAGATTTGAAAATTATTATGCAAAATGAATAATTTAGTTGAAAGTGTTAAATTGATTTTGCCCTTTCACTACACAACCTCACGTCGGAGATGATGGCAATGTTGGCTTCATTGTGAGTGCTGATGGGCATTTCCCCAAACTTCGCCAGCACCTACTATTCGTCTCCCACTAACCGCAAGACCCCACCTGGCAGGCCATTAAAACGAGCTTAAAGGCACTGAAATGACAGCAGCTATATATTTTTGAGAGAAATATTACCCACATACACACAAGCCCTTAAAATTGTGGGCAGTTGTTGCCTGGATATATAACCGAACTTAAACTGTTCAAGGGGTAGTGAACTGTAATTTTGTTAGGCACTGTGAAGTAATTTGAGGATTCTCTCATTTGATTTTACTGGCAAACTAAGCTGTACACATTTTAGTTGTTCTCTTTAATGAGTCTCTGAACTTTAAGAAACCTCAATTTAGTGCTTAACTCAAAAGTTAAACTAGAAATTATGAATAGATCTGTTGTTCTTTGAACATATAGACCAAACAAGTGTTTTGGTTTGCTAGTTTGCAAATTCTTCAACAACTGTCCGGAAACTCATCCGATTTTTGCTCTGCTTTATTCAATCTATTGATATCAGTTTTCCCCTTTAACGTATTTGTTCGCCCTTACAAGCTGTAAGCAACACCTTTTTGTAATCAGGCTGCAGCCAGTCGCAACTGTTGGTCTGGTGCTCGACTACATTTCCGGGCTATCTGCCATTATATCTGTGAACGAGCTGAATTTCTTGTAACCTGTCGGGGAGCACGCCTCCAGCTTGGTTACAGTTCTTGCACGCCCTGCACGCCCTGCACGCCTCCTGACGTCATTTGTCAAAATTTGGCATTAACATCAGGGGTTGAGTATATGGCCCCATATGGCCACACCAACCTTCAGGCAATAGCCACACTAGCACATTTCCATTCCCATTCCCATTCACATTCACATTCCCATCCCCATTCACAATCCCACTCCCATTCCTTTCTTATCCTGTTCATCATAGTCGTAGTCGTAGTCGTAGTCGCTGTGGCTAATATTGACATTCCTAATCTGTGCAGTGCTGTGCGGTGGCCGTTAAAATGCCGTGTCACTTCGGTAGTATGCGTGTGTTCTTCCATTGGGTTTGCCACTAGTCGGTAGCCTTGGCCCGATCATCATCACTCTGTCACTGGCTCCGGGTTGGGGTCTAGGCCGGAATCGGAGTCGAAGTCGGGGACTATCCCGCTTTTGTATTCGCTTATAATTTATACCCTTACAGAGGGTGTTCAAATTTTATCATGGCCTCGCGTATTGAAGATAACATCTGGGATCTTATAAATTATATTTATACAAACTGATTACTTAAGAATATTATAATACTGATGGCATATTAGAAAAAAACAAATACTATTAGTAGATATGATCTAGTACTAGGTCACATAGCAAGACTTGATCACAGAATTTAATTTATTTTAAGAGACTAATTAATTATATATATAATACACTTTGCAAGCGTATGTAACAATCGGTGTGGCCTAAATAGCTATTATTTTCTATTAATTTTTTTCTGTTTTTCGGATGGGTGTGTTTTGTTTTTGATTCATGCTTCGCTATCAGCGCTGGGCGTGTTCCTAACTCCCGCTGCTCGCTCGTTTTTATATATTGTATTTGATGATGACATTGCGAAGCCAGCAAACGACACACCGACTGACCGACTGACTAACCGACTGACTAACTGACAGAGTGACTGACTAACGTGGCTGGTAATGGTCGTCGGTAGACAGTTTATTAATTTAAGTAGCTGCCTCATTGGCAGTGATTAGCGACAGACGACTTGAATAAAAGGAAACAAAGTGCTGGCAGCCGCTGTTCCGAATCGCTTTTTAACAACACTGCAATTTTGTGCGTCATGTCTGATGACCGACAGTAGCAGCAGGAGTCGAGTTCAACGTTGTCTTGGACGTCATGTTGTTACTTTCTTGCAGCGCACTCAACTCGACGACTTTTTCTATTGGTTTCTTTTTGCAAATTGTTAGAAGCCCGCCCGCAGCGACCAGGCCCAAAACCTAGACTCAAAACCTAGACCCAGACCTGTGCAATGTATTTGCCCAACCTGTGTAAAGTGCAGCAAAACATACACACATACACCGAAGGAGAGAGAGAGAGGGATACAGAGAGAGAGAGAGACGCTTGAGTTGGGACTTGGGCCAGAATACGGGCCAATGCGATTTGCCTTGCCAAAAGCTGCATGACTAACTTTATAGTTGTAGTAGTATTGGTGTGTGTGTGTGTGTGTGCTTGTGTTTGTGTGCGAAAGAGAGTTGGTGCGACAACACAAGTGTTTTAATTTTACGACATTGTATGAATTTTACTGCTGGCACAGCAGAAACATCAGCACCGCTGTTACATATCGTTAGCTTCCTTAACGGACGTATCCCACATTTTCTAGCCCTCACACAACGTCTGTTGTTGTCTCAACCCCGCTACCCTCCTGCCCGCGCCAACATCACCCCTTTTAGTGCCTGCTGCTGCTGCTGCTGCTGCTGCCTGTTGTCTGTATGCTGTGCCATGCTCATAAATTGCAGCTTGCAAGCTTCAGTGCAATCAGCGTCATCAGCTTCATCCGGCCCTTACAGCTTGCCCCCGGACAATGGGCCAGAAAAGGGAACAGGACAGCGATTTGCGTAACAACCGAAAAAAAACCGCAAGCCTTTTGAAGACCAGTAGCAAGTTTTAACGAAGCAGGAATTGATAATAAATGTTATTAGAATAATAGTCAATTTTGACCCTTAAAACTTGAAAAGATCATAGGTCAGAAGTAGAAGTAGAAACAGTTTTAACTGAACTGTCGCAGGATAAGATCTAGAGGCATATTTAAATTATTAATTTGTCAAATATTTACTGAATAGAACCCAGTGAACCTTAAACCTTGCTGCCCCAAAACGATTTAAAATTTCCAAACTAGTTTGCAGACTTTGTAGACCAATTTTTTGTTTGCCCCACTGTCGCTTAACTGCCGTCACTTAACGTTAACAGTTTACGCTTGCCTGCGGGCTAAAAAGGCTGCCGTTGCAATACACACACACTTGCATAGTTGCACACACAGCAACACACACACCTTTCTCTCTCGCTTTCTCTGTCTCTCTCTCTCTCTCTTTCTCTCGGTCTCTTTCTCTTTGCTTGCATCTTTGCTTCGCCATCATTTTTGGTACTGCTGCTGCTGTTGCGCTAACTGCGTAAAGTTGGCACTTGAAACTGTCAGCTTAAATATGCCAACTGCACACACACACACACACACACGGGCGTAAACTTCACACACACATGCGGCTACTACATAAAGTGCACAAAATGGTCGACGCATAGCGAAAGTTGGTGCCGTAAGTTACAGAACAGAGAATCGAGCGACTCTTACGGCTCCGCGCAGTCTGGCAGGCCATTACTTTGGGTAACCCTGCCCCGCCCCGACCAGCCCCCTCGCCCCCTCGTCCCCTGAAAATGACGCCCCCCTCAACTTACCATAAATGCATTTTTAAATGCCAGGCTACAGCTAAATTAAGCAGCATTTGCCCCTTGCGTTTTACGCGCTCGTTCGTTAGTTTATGCTGATACTTTTACTATATATTCTCTATTGTTTTTCTCCACTTCTTTTTTATTTTGCAGATGGTGACGAGAACGAAGAAAATCTTTGTGGGCGGCCTCTCGGCGCCCACCACGCTGGAGGATGTCAAAAGCTACTTTGAACAGTTTGGTCCGGTAAGTAGAAAACCTTAAGAAATATCTACACCCATTTGTATTATTATCCATAAATAGTTGTCTGCCAACTTCTTACAAAATGGTAATAATAATAATAATGATGAAAAAAAGAAATCAGGATCAGAATGACAGTTGCCGAACAAATCATGCAATTTATGCGCACTGCGCGTGTTCTAGACATACCAACAAATATATATTTGTCTATATATGTATATGTATGTATATAGTGTCTGCTGGTAAACGCTGCTGAGCAATGACACCTCCGCTGGCAGCCACTTGCTACGTTTTGTTTGATCAATAAAAACGCCAAAATAAAGCCGAGAAAAAACCCCAACAAAAAATAAAATTGCTAAAAAAAAAAACGAAACGAAACGAAAAAATTAAGGGAATATATATCCGTTGCAAATTCAATCTTGACAAGTACTGCAAAGCACAGACGTTGGCCCAACACGTCGATGCGGCGGCGCCTCAACCTCCTGCTCCTCTCCCCCACCACTTGCTTCTGCTTCTACGTCTACCCCTTCACTCATCATTTTTCCAAATTCTGTGATGCCTACCTGCAGCCAAAGCAAACTCCACTTAAACATCAGGCTTACACACATGCATATCAAGTGTATGTGTTTGTGTGTGTGTGTGTGCTTTTGCGGCTGAGTGCTGTTCGAGTGCTCTTTAAGTTCTCCATTCAGGCATGCTCTATATAAGCAGGGGAGTGGGGCGCTGCAGACTTGTTATAGCGCACAAAACAAATTTTTAGCACGAGAACAAAAATTGTTGTGTTCTTGATTACGATACTAAACGAAAATCGATTTGTTCGACGCTCTTCGATTTTAATGAGCGACTAGATCCTTCAACGACAAGGCTTCAGGGATTTCATTAACGATATGCAAAATATATATTCGCTGACTGAAATATCTTTAATAAAGATAAGCTCAAGGATGCACTTAAGATACCAAATGAGAATGCAAGTGAATATTATAAAAATAAACAATTCTAATATATCACAAGTATTTCGATTATTTTAAATGATTGCTGCTGAAGTTTAAAAGTGATAAAATCAAGATTAATTTAGTTTGGCAAATCAAAAATGGTTACACTTTAAAAAGTGTAGCACATATGGGAATTTTGGGTCTTTGTTCTGTAGCTTGAGTGTCATTGCAACTTTTGCAAAACTTTCATAATTGCTTTAAAGTTTTATAAATTGCCTGTTTTATTTGCTATAAAATAAAAACTTATTTGCTGCTTTGCCTACATTCATCGTTCTGTCATTTAATACTGGCTCGCACTTTGCAAAACACTCAACGGATTTGCAACTTCACTCGTCGACCAGGTGAAACGTAACCTCTGATAAGTAGGTAGGGGATTTAGGTAGATTGAAGGGGACAAGGGGCGCTAGCGGTGGCGGGGATAGTCTCCTGATAATTGACACAAATTGGCGCAAGTTTTTGTCAGCTCTTCAACCGCAGCGCACGTCAACTGGCATTTGCTCTGGCTCATTGCGCCGCGTGCCCGACGACAGTCGATAATGCGAATATAATGACGACGCCATTCTCCCCTCTTCACAGCACCCCCTCACCACACCCACCCACACACCCCTCTGCCTCACTGACGCCATCGCCTGTTTCTGTTGTGCCATGGCACATAAGCGCCCATCAATCAAATCAGCGCTGTGCGAAAATGCTTTTAAGTAATTTTCATCATAACTGCGAATGAAGCTGTCAAAATCTATAACGATCAAATAGTTGAAACCCCTGCAAAATGATATTGCACAGGTAGCTAGGTGAATGGGTTGGGCATGGTTGGTTCCGGGATGCATAATTCTTGTTGTAGGTGGATAGGGGGTGGGGCTGTTGATGGTACTGGTGCTGGTGCTGGCCAAAAAACAAAGGCAAGGCAACTTAACCAAGCGCGAATGCCTAATGGCAAACTTTTCAATTAATCCGCATTGGCAAAAGAAAATTATAATAATAACTTTGGCTCACAAAAGGGCCTCAAGTTGAGGGTAGTAAATTGCACTGGAGTCTCCCTTCCGGCTAACGTGTAAGCTTGACTGAAAGTTTCGACAGGCAAAACAACAGAAGACGTCCCAGCCCCATTGACTGCCTGCACAGCTCCACATACTACTTGCCCAAGTTATTGATTACAACTAATCCCCTTTTGGCTTCTGCCTGCCGCCTCATTGAACAGCGAGCAGGGCTTGCAAAAAGATTTGCGCCATGGCCCATAAACAAAATAGCAAAAATGGCTAAGACCGGGCCACACAGCTCCTTCTGTTTGCCGTATCCGTGTCCGGATCAGGAGAACCGTGGTCGAGGCAGGTGGCCAGTCAGGCGTTAATGACTTTATCGGCCATTTTTCTTTAACAGAAAGAGAGAGATTGCCTTTGTCGTTGTCATTGCCATTAGAGACGGCACACGGTAAAGATTGATTAGCCAGGATGACACAGTCAGGCACTGACTGAAAACGAAACAGAAGCACAAGTAGAAACAGAAACTGAGGCAGTGGCAGTCAATATGATTAATAGTTGTTGCATGTTGCGTAGAATGGCGACAATCACTATAGGCCAAACAACAATAGCGAAATAGCGCAAACAACAGCGAGATTGTCTTTATAGAAATTTATGACCCGAGCAACCAGCCAATTTCATGTTGCCAGCACAATTTTCTTCCTCTATCTGTGTTTTTCGTGTTTTTTATTTTTTTTTCTCCTGTGTATTTTTCCGCCCCATTTTTATATTATTTTTCTCTCATGTCAGCGGCATATTTTATTTGCATTTCATGTTATTGTAGGTTTTAAATGTTACATTGCATTGTTCTGCAATTCTGTTTTTGTTGTCAGAATGCTGCTAATAAATGGCAAACAACTATCGCAATACTCTTGTGTCGATGGACTTTTTTTTTTCTTTTTAGAAAGTCAAGACAATAAATTATACGAAACTGAATATTCATTGTGGCTGAGGAATACAAACAAACAATTTTCTTATTTACAACAAAAAGTACTCTTTTTTTGTGTTGAAATTGAACAGAACCGAATATAGCTTTATTTTCATATTGACTTTTATTTTCATGAGTGGATTTTGTCCGTTCTGACAGAAAGAATAGGTTATATGATTAATTATTGCTTTCCGAAATCGTTTTCTTATATTCATGGCTATTTTAATAAAGCCACCACATATGCAATGTATCTATGCTAAAATGACTTTTGTAAAGCGAATACTGCATAATCTATTTTAGAATTGTGCGCTTATATATGGAATAAATTGTATAAATAGCGAAGAGCTTTAGTTTATGTGCGTTACTTGCTTAACAGCAAAGTTTTAATGCCCCGCTGTGTGGCTATAAAAACTATTCGCAATGCCCCTCTACCTTTATATTCCTCCCGTTGTGAGTCGAACCTGTATCAACCTGGACGACCTCAGATATGGCCCGAGCCCGCACATAAGCTTGATAGTTGCCACACCTTTTAAATGCAAATCAGAGAAATGTTTTCCAACAAACAAAACCAAAACCTAGCCAAACGCAAGCCAACAAAACAAATGGAAAATTTCAAATTTTCAGTATGGAAGTTTTTAGTGTAAATGCTTCACATATAACTGGCACACCATCACACACACACACACGCTCGTGAAATGGACCCCAAGCTGACCTCAGCTGCTGCAACCTTTGCCACTGATTTTATTGCAACTGCTGCAGTTACAGCCACTGCTGCTGCAAAGGCTGCGATAACACAAATTTCACATGCGGCGAGGGGGAAACGAAAGTGAGATTCAGAAACAGAGAGCAACAAAAAAAAAACAAGCATACGGCAACAAAACCAACAAAAATGCAAAGCTCTTTGGCTAAAAAATTGCAAATAAACTACACATTTTGCAAGCTCCTACCTTCTGGCCCCCTAACTCTCTCTCTCTCTCTCTTAGTCTCTCGAGCAAGCCTGAACTATGGCTCAGTATGGAAATTGCAGGGGGCAACTATCAGGCAGCCAGCAGACATCGCCCTGTGGCTTTTAAAGGTGTTTACGGTGTTTGCTTTGCCATGCCCCAAGGGTTAGTTAATTTAAGCGCTTTTCATAAGCATTTTATGGGGTAGAACGGATCCCAGGCCAAGTGGCAGCAGCAAGTGGCAAAAGTGCAGCGAAAGCTGCCAAATGTTCGACCCACTAATGGTCGATGGGACTCTCCTCAGTCTAAAGGACTTGCTGGAGTGGCGAGCCGGGTAGCTGTTCCTCCTCTCTTGAGGCATTAATTATGACAAATCATGCAAAACAAATTGTAGCAAAAATATAGCAACAAAAAAATAATAAATAAATCTACAGCATAAAGAAAATTTTTCATTAAAAGCGAGTTTAATCATTTAATTAGAAGGTTGTGGAGAGTGAGTAAGAGAACGGATAAAGAGAGAGAGAGAGAGCAATAGAGAGAGAGAGAGAGAGAGAGAGAGAGAGAGAGAGAGAGAGAGCGAGTATGAGTGTGTAGAGAGTGAGACTGTTTTTGGCTGTTATAAATACATTTCTTCAGATATTCTGATATTTGCGATGGCTTATGTTTCCACACATTAATAAAATACTTATTTCAAGTGTCAAAAATTATATAAATATCTTTCTGCAACTTATCTTTTTTGCACTTTTACATTAAAATATCCAACATATATATAATCATTCCTATAACCCATATCTATTTCCATTTTTTTTTCAAATATTCCCCCTAAAAATAAGAAGGGTATATGGCCTTGTGTTTGGCGCAGATAGAGTTTCAATCCTGTTTGTTTGCTCACCTGCCTGACGTATCAGTCAGTCAGTTCGTCAGTCAGTACTGTTTGTGTTTGTCCTTGTGCCGCCCCCTGTGCCCGTGTGTGTGTGTGTGTGGCATAACTGTGGGCAATTTTTGAGGTATTGCGAATGTGAAGTGCCTCTTTCCAGCTGCATAAATTATGATGAAGCGCAAATCTTCAGTTAGCCGTGTGTAAATGTAAATGAAGGCTTTGTGCCTATGCATGTGGGTGTGTGTG